TTGGATTCTTTGGATTCGTTGGATTCTCTGGATTCCCTGGATTCTCTGGATTCTCTAGATTCTCTGGATTCTTTGGATTTTTAGATTCATTGGAGTCCTTTGATTATTTGGATTTTTTTGATTCTATGGATTCTTTGGATCCTTAGGATTCTTTGGACTCTTTGGACTCTTTGGATCGTTTGGATCCTTTGTATCCTTTGGATTCCTCGGATCCTTTCGATTCCTTGGATTCTTTAAATTCTTTGGATTCTTCGGATTCTTTGAATTGTTTGGATTCTTTGGATTCTTTGGATTCTCTGGATTCTCTGGATTCTCTGCATTCTCTGGATTCTCTAGATACTTTGGATTCTCTGGATTCCCAGGATTCTTTGGATTCTTTGGACTCTGTGGATCCTTTGGATCCTTTGTATCCTATAGATTCTTTGGATTCTTGGGATTCCTGGGATTCCTCGGATTCCTCGGATGCTTTGGATTTTTTGGATTCTTTGGATTCTTTGGATTCTTTGGATTTTTTGGATTCTTTGGATTCTTTGGATTCTCTGGATTCTCTAGATTCTCTGGATTCTCTGGATACTCTGGATTCTCTGGATTCCCTGGATTCTCTGTGTTCTCTGGATTCTTTGGACTCTTTGGATCCTTTGGATTCTTTGTATCCTTTGGATTCTTTAAATTCTTTGGATTCCTCGGATTTCTCGGATTCCTCGTATTCCCCGAATTTCTCGGATTCCTCGGATTCCTGAAATTCTTTGGATTTTTTGGATTCTTTGGATTCTTTGGATTCTTTGGATTCTCTGGATTCTCTGGATTCTCTGAATTCTCTGGATTCTCTGGATTCTCTGGATTCTCTAGATTCTTTGGATTTCTGGAAATTTGACTTTTTTGCATTTTTTAATTTTTTGAATTTTTAAAATTTTGGAATTTTGGATTTCTGGATTTCTGGATATCTGGGTTTCTGGATTTCTGGAATTCTGAATTTTTAGATTTTTGAATTTCTCGATTTCTAGATTTCTCAAGCTTTCGATGTTTCAGTTTTTGGGATTTTGCAATTTCAGGATTTTTAAAATTTTACTTTTTTCACTTTTTAAATGTTTCGATTTCTCGATCTTTCGTTTTTTCGATTTCTCGCTTTTAGATGTTTCGATTTTTGAATTTTTTGATTTTTAAAATGTTCGATTTTTCAATTTTGGGCTACTTCGATTTCTAAATTTTTCGATTTTTCGGCTTCTGGACTTCAGGATTTTTCGATTTTCCAATTCTTCGATTTTTCAGTTTTTCGATATTTCAGTTTTGGAATTTTTCAGTTTCTCGATTTATTTATTAATCAGTTTTTTGATTCTTCAGTTTTCCGATTTTTTTTAATTGAAATTGTTCGATTTCTCGATTTCTATTTTTTGTTATTTATTAGCTTTTCGATTTTTTTATTTTACATTTTTTCGATTTTACAATTTTTTAATGTTTCGATTACCAGATTAAAAATTGAATTTTTTCGATTTGTCGACACCTCGGTTTTTCAATTTTTAAAATTTTTACACTTTTCGATTCTTCGATTTCCCAATTTTAACATTTCAATTTTGGAAACTTTTCAATTTCTGGATTTCTCGATTTTTAGATTTTTAGATTTTGGGTAATTTCGATTTCTCAGTTGTTCTATTTTTCGGCTTCTCGACTTCTCGAGTTCTAGGTCTTTCGATGTTTCAGTTTCTTGATGTTTAAATTTTTCAATTTAGATTTTGCGGTTTTTCGAATTTTCGACTTTTCAATTTTCTATTTTTTCGATCTTTCAGTTTTGGGATTTTTCAATTTCTCAATTTTTCAGTTTATCGATTCTTCGATTTTTCGATTGTTTAAATTTTAGATTTTTCGATTTCTCAATTTCTAGATTTTTGATTTTTTAGTTTTTCCTTTTTACTTCCCGAGCGTAAGCAAAGGAAGTATTGTAATCGAGTCCGTCGGCCGACTCTCTACTTTTACGTTTTCTCGATCTTTCATGACCCCTAGAAGACGAAGAAATAGGTCTCCCATTTCCGTCTGTCTGTCCGTCTGTCCGTCCGTCTGTCCGTCTGTCCGTCCGTCTGTCCGTCTGTCCGTCCGTCTGTCCGTCTGTCCGTCTGTCCGTCCGTCTGTCCGTCTGTCCGTCTGTCCGTCTGTTGTCCCGGATTTTTATTAGACAGATAATCTCCGAAAGTACTCGACCGATTGTTGTGAAATTTTGTACTTATATTAAGAATATCATGTAGATGGTAAAACGCTAACCAAAATTTGTCGAATCATCCCCACCACTAAAGCGATGACGTCACTTCAAAATTGTACATAGTAAATGGGTTTTCAATTGTATAAAATAACATAGTCCTACACATGTAGTTTACAACTCTGAATCGACTTTTCACCCGAAACGTCCAGATTTTTGGAAAAAAAATCAAAATTATAAAACAACATTTTGAAATTTAATTTTTAATCTGCTAACCAGAATGCTTTGAAATGTTGCAGATGTTTTAAGGCTATAAAGAGCATCATAAATCTTTAGTCAAAAAATATTTGCTTATCCCCTCCAAAAACTTGATGACGTCAGCTCAAAAGTTTGTGGAATAAATCATATCTAAAATGTACAAAATATGATGAGTCTGTACTTGTGATCTATCACTCCATTCATATTTTTTGGATTTGCATATACAGGGTGACTCAAAAAAATTAATGAATGCGTAAATATATTTTATTGATTTAATCAGGAACTACAAAACCGAATGCTCTGAAATCTTGCAGATGTTTTAAGGTCATAAAGAGCATAATAAATGTTTAGTCAAAATATATTTGCTTATCCCCTCCAAAAACTTGATGACGTCAGCTCGAAAGTTTGCCGAATAAATCATATCTAAAATGTACAAAATATGATGAGCCTGTACTTGTCATTTATCACTCCATTCATATTTTTTGGATTTGCATATACAGAGTGACTCAAAAAAATTAATGAATGCGTAAATTTATTTTATTGATTTAATCAGGAACTACAAAACCGAATGCTTTGAAATCTTGCAGATGTTTTAAGGTTATAAAGAGCATAATAAATTTTTAGTCAAAATATATTTGGTTATCTTCTACAAAAAACTGATGACGTCAGCTCAAAAGTTTTCCGAATAAATCGTATCTAAAATGTACAAAATATGATGAGTCTGTACTTGTGATTTATCATTCCATTCATATTTTTGGATTTGCATATGCAGGGTGACTCAAAAAAATTAATGAAGGCGTGAATTTATTTTATCGATTTAATCAGGAATTACAAAACCGAATGCTTTGAAATCTTGGGAATATTTTAAAGTTATTATAAGCATGGTAAACTTTTGTTCAAAATGTATTTGTTCATCCCTCCTAAAAAAATTGATGACGTCACCCTTAAATTTTGCTGAATAAATCCTATCTAAAATGCAAAAAATATGATGAGTTTGTACTTGTGATTTATCATTTCATTCATATTTTTTAGATTTTCTTAAGAGGTGGTTCAAAAGAATTAATGAAGTCAATTTATTTTATTGATTAAATTAAAGGCAACACTTATTATTAGTATTACACCCCAACCAACCCAATTTGGTAGACACAAAATTTGTTAAAGGAAAAACTCGGTTGAAACATAAGGGTAGCACGCTTATTTACATCGACTTTAACATTACAGACCTGCATTTGTTTTATGCGTTCACTTGATTCCGCGAATGTGAAATAGACATGTTTATAATCAACCAATTGTGAATTTCACCGTCAAGAATTAAAATAAAACCCAATGTTTTATATAATAAGCGGAAGTCGAAGCAATAAAACCGACGGTCGTTTTGTTTACAGTTTCTGTGTTTGGCTCTCACGTATGCTGTTACGCCTGTCATCTTAAATTAACAATGTTTATACATACACGATTTTCAGTTGCCTCTGATACGTAGGTATACGTGAGTAAATTGTTTCGTTATTTTATTGATTATTACAAATCAATATTCAAACGACCCAATTCATTTTCCCGAAAATTTGAGAATATAATAATTTTATTCTTAGTATTACACTACATCTATCCCAACTGATATACGTGTCCTTGCAAAAATGTTGATGACGTCATCGCAATTTTTTTTTAAATTCCCACTACAAAAATGTAATGAGAAAAAAACACAATAGGCATGCAGTCGTCAAGTTTCCGACAGCGAGGGAAGTACTGTCTAAACTCTTTAGACCAATTTTTTTTTATATTACTTACATTTTCGATTTTTTTAATCTTTCGATTTTACTATTTTTTGAGGTTTCGATTTCCCGATTTTTCAAGTTTTCGATTTCTTAGTTTTCCAACTTACCGATATTTTCATTTTTCGATTTTTTTCTTTTTTTTTCCATTAGCTATATCTGCTTTAAATATAGGCAGACAAGGAGATCTTAGACTTAGAGAGTGACATTTGCTACAAACCAAGAATTATCTACATTTACCCCCATCTAAACCACTGATGACGTCATCGCTGAAGATCATTAAATAAATTTCATGGAGACCAGACGCTCTATATCTTGTGCGTTAAAGAGGAACTAACTATAGGATTTCCCCATGAAAGCACCCCACTATTAATAAAACCCTTGACTCAACAAATACGATCATCCTCGCCCCAACAGCCAATTTAAAATTATAATAAACCCCACCGCAACCGCTCCACCCCCCGATAACCCCATCCGCCAACAAACACATCTCCTGCATCAGCGTCTCCTTTGATAAAGCCGTCATAAACCTGTCACCCGTCGTGCATTCAGCCACTATCTCAAGACATTATTCTTTATTCCCTAATGCAACAAAGCGCGACCCCTTTCACCCACGTCCACCATTACATACCATTGTCGCATCTGCAGCATCCCCACTGACCTACATTTCGTCGGAATCGAGCACAATTCCTTAACAATTTTATCTCGTCGAGTCTGATCACGGACGTACAAATATTTCGTGAACGTTACGACAGCCGAGAGACTCGAAATTATTAAGTACTCACCGGAGCTGGCGCGTCGTTAACTTCATCCCTGGCGCTCTCCGAGGGGCCGCCGGTATTCAACTTGGCCAGTTCCACGGCGATACAAGCGGCAGTTTCGGCATTGTTCTTGATGAGGGCGATGTCTGGTGATGGTTAAGGGGGCACAAGCGAAAATGGCGCGCGACGAACTGTCAACGCAACTGTCATTTCATGCAGCTAACTTCGCGGAGTCGATTTTAAATTGTTATTGGAGGCGATAAAATTGAGAAAAGCGGCGGAATGATTTTGTGTATTTTTGGGAACATGGATTTGGGACAAAAATATTAATTTCTGGTCTGTTTGTGTTGGCTGTGACGAATATAATTTAAATGTCAACACAAATGTCAAACTAAGAAATTTGCGCTCCAGTGGCGTAGTTTCCAACATGAAAAATACGAATACAATTGGGGCAAGACCATTTCCAGAGTTTTTGCACCACCAATATTATTTTTAATTATTGTTGTTATTAATAAACAGTGTTGAAACAGTATTTGTCTTTGATTAAAAATTTGGGCGAATAAGAAATAAAGTTTTCCTTTTTACGTATTTAATCCAATATTCACAGTGGCGTCCTTAGTTATTTGCACAAACTTAAAAAATCTATACACCAAATATTCCTATTAACGCTAAAAGTCAACCTGAATGTCATCTCAAATGTCCTTTTTCTGTCAATGTGGTGGGTTTTCAGTTTAGTTATTTATGTCTAAAGGGTATTGTGAAGTAGCTCTAGGTCTAGGGTATAAATTTCGAATAACAGCCGTGATACATACACAATTTTATGTCTAATCGATTAATTTTTGATTTCTACAAAAAAAAAATTTTTACTGCGAAAGCATTCATTTATTTCATCGGATTTAAACAGCGAATTAAGCACAAAAAATACATTAATGTAGGTACAGATGAACCAAAAATGTAGACCGACATATTGATTTTTTTTTTGAATTGTTAAAATTTTTTCGATTTATTGGTTTTTTGACAGCTAGATTTTTTGTTTTTTTGGAATTTTGGCTTTTGTTTCTTTTTTAATTTATTGTCTGATTTTTTGGATTTTTAGAATTATTAGATTTCTTAAATTTTTGAGTTTCTTGGGCTTCTTAGATTTTTTAGATTTTTGATTTTTGTTTAATTATTTGAATATTTGGATTTTTTTTAATTTTTTGGCTGATTGGAATTTTTACTTTCTTGGGTTTCTTGCATTTCATGAATTTTTTGGATTTTTGAGAATATTTGGAAATTTTTGGATTTTTTTTTTGTTTTCCATTTCGGGTTGTTCGAGTTTTTCGGTTTTTTCTGACTTTTCGGATTATTTGGACTTTTCAGACTTTTCGCATTTTTCGAATGTTTTGGATTTTCAGAAATATAGGATTTCTTGAATTTCTTGGTTTTTGGGTTTTTTGGCTTTTTAAATTTTTTTTTGCCCGATTTTTTTGAAAATTTTTCGAATTATTGGACCTCTTGAATTTTTAGAGTTTCTTGGGTTTCATGGAATTTTTAGATTTTTGGATATTTTAAATTTTGACGTTTTGGTTTATTTTAAATTTTTTGATATTTTCGATTTTTGGAACATTGGATTTCTTGAGTTTCTTGGGTTTGCTGCATTTTTTTTTTTTGTTGTATTTTTTGGATTGTTTGAATTTTTTGGATTTTTATGTTCTGGAATTCTTTGGATTGTTAGGATTTGTTGGATTCGTTGAATTCTATGGATTCTATGGATTGGATTTCTTGAGTTTCTTGTTTTTCCTACATTTCATCTTTTTTTGGGGATTTTTTAAATTTCTCAGATATTTTCGAATTTGTGGGTTTTTGGATTTTTCGGATTTTCCGGATTTTCCCGATTTTTCAAAATTTTTGGGTATTTTCAGACTTTTCGAATTTTTTGAACTATTAGATTTCTTGAGTTTCTTGGGTTTTTGATTTATTTATTTTTGTACTTTTTTATTCTTCGATCTTTTGGATTTTGGTGATATTTACCAATTTTGGGATATTTAGAATTATCGATTTTTAGAATTTTTGAGTTTCTTTGGTTTTTAGATTATTGGATTTCTTGAGTTTTCTGGGTTTCGTGCATTCCCTGGATCCCTTGGAATTCTTGGATTCTTTGAATTCTTTGGATCTTTTGGATCCTTCGGATTTTTGGCGTTTTGATTTTTCTATTTTTGAATTTTTGGTATTTTGGACCTTTGAATTTTTTGAATTTTCAATTTTTGGGTTCTTAGATTTCTGGATTTCTCGATTTCTGGACTTCTGGCTTTTTGGATTTTCGGATTTCTGAATGTCCGGATTTCTGGATTTCTCGATTTTTGTATTTCTGGATTTTCGATTTTTGGGTTTTAGGATTTCTGGATTTCTGGATGTCTGGATTTTAGATTTTGGATTTTGAATTTCTGGGATTTTGATTTCTGAATTTCTGGATTTTCGGATTATCGGATTCTCGGATTTTCGGATTTTCGGATTTGTAGATTTTTCGATTCCTGAATTTTTGGATTTCTAGATTTCTGGATTTCTGGATTTCTGCATTTCAGAATTTCTGGATTTTGGGTTGGCTTTTTGATTTTCAGATTTGAATGTCTGGATTTCTGGATTTCTAGACTTCTGGATTTGAGGATTTTTGAATTTTGGATTTTTGAATTTCTAGATGTCTGGATTTTTGGATGTCTGAATTTCTCGATTTCTGAATTTCGGGTTTTCCGAATTTCAGGATTTCTGGATTTTTGGGTTGGTTTTTTGGATTTAGGATTTTAGAATTTTCGAAATTTCGGATTTTCCCATTTTTGGATTCCAGGATTTTCGGATTTCTGGATTCTTGGATTTTTGAATTTCTGAATTTTTGAAATTCTGGATTTCTGGAATTCAGAATTTCTGGATTTTCGGTTGGACTTTTGATTTTCAGATTTTCGGATTTTCGAATTTCTGTCTGGGTTTCTAAACTTCTGGATTTCAAGATTTTTGGATTTTTGGATGTCTGGAATTTTAAATGTCTGGATTTCTGTATTTCTGGATTTTAGAATTTTGGATTTGTGGATTTCTGTATTTCTGGATTTCAGAATTTTGGATTTGTGGATTTCTGTATTTCTGGATTTCAGAATTTTGGATTTCTGGATTTTTGGTTTTTCGATTTTCGGATTTTCGAATTTCTGGATTTTGATTTTTGGATTTCTAGATTTCTGGATTTCTGGATTTCAGAATTTCTGGATTTTGGGTTGGCTTTTTGATTTTCAGATCTTCGGATTTCTGAATGTCTGGATTTATGGATTTCTAGACTTTTGGATTTAAAGATTTTTGAATTTTTGATTTTTGAATTTCTAGATGTCTGGATTTCTCGATTTCTGAATTTCGGGTTTTCCGAATTTCAGGATTTCTGGATTTTTGGGTTGGTTTTTTGGATTTACGGATTATCGGATTTTCCCAATTTCGGAATTTAGGATTTTCGAAATTCTGGGTTTTTGGATTCCTGGATTTTGGGCTGAAATTTTGATTTTCAGAATTTCGGATTTTCGAATTTCTGTCTGGGTTTATAAACTTCTGAATTTCAAGATTTTTGAATTTTTGAATTTCTGGATGTATGGATTTTTAAATGTCTGGATTTCTAGATTTTAGAATTTTGGATTTTTTGATTTTTGGATTTTTAGATTTCTAGATTTCTGGATTTTGGGTTGGCTTTTTGATTTTCAGATTTCTGGATTTCTGGATTTTTGGATTTCAAGATTTTTGAATTATGGATTTTTTGATTTCTGGATGTCTCGATTTTTGGATTTTGGGTTAACTTTTTTGGATTTTCGGATTTTCGAATTATCAAGTTTTCGAACTTTCGGATTTCTGATTTTTGGATTTCTAGATTTTTGGATTTTTGTTTAGCGGATTTTTGGATTTCTGGATTTTTGAATTCCTGAATTTCTGATTTTCTAGATTTTCGGATTTTCGGATTTCTGGATTTTTGTTTTTCGGATTTTTGAATTTCTGGATGTCTGGACTTCTGGATTTCTGAATTTCTGGATTTCCGGATTTTTTGCATTTTTGGATTTTTCGATTTTCGGATTTTCGAATTTTAGGATTTCTGGATTTTTGGATTATTGTGTAGTGGGTTTTTGGATTTCTGGATTTTTGGATTTTCGAATTTTCGGTTATCTGAATTTCTGGACTTATGGATTTTTGGATTTTTGGATTTTCTGAATGTTTGAGTTTCTGAATTTGTAGATTTCTGGATTTCTGGTTTTTACATTTTTGTATTTTCGGATTTTTAAATTTTCGAATTTTCGGATATCTGAATTTTTGGATCTTTGGATTTTTGATTTTTAGATTTTTGGAGTTTTGGATTTTCGATTTTTCTGAAAATCTGGATTTCTGGATTTGTAGATTTGGATTTATGGATTTATGATTTTTGAATTTCTGGATTTCTGGATTTCTGGATTTCTGGATTTTGGGTTTCTGGACTTCCGGATTTTAGGATTTTTGAATTTTTGAATTTTCGATTTTTGGATTTCTGTATTTCCGGCTTTGTAGATTCTTGGAATTTTGGATTTTTAAATTTTTGGATTTTCGATTTTTCTGAATATCTGGATTTCTGGATTTGTGGATTTGGATTTATGATTTTTGGATTCCTGAATTTCCGGATTTCTGGATTTTGGGTTTTGGACTTCTGGATTTCAGGATTTTTGAATTTTCGATTTTTTTATTTTTGGGTTTTTGGATTTCTGGATTTCTGCATTTTTCGGACAATTCGTATCTTTCAGATCTCTCCGATATTTCCGATTTTCCGGTTTTTTCGGATTTCACGGATTTCTTGGATTCTTTGAATTTTTTTGATGTTGTTTTTTACATTTTTTGGATTTATTGATTTTTTGCGATTTACTTTTGTTTTTTTTTTAATTCTCTAATTTTTGTATTTTTGGGATATTTTCCATTTTTTGTATTTTTTTGAAATCATTAGATTTCTCGAAGTTTTTGAGTGTCTTGAGTTTGTTAGATATTTTAAATTTTTAGATTTTTTCAATTCTTTTTCAATTTTTTTAATTTTTGGATTTTTTGTATTTTTTTAATTCCTGGATTTTTCGGATTCTTTAGATTTTTAGGATTTTTGCCTGTTAGCAGAGATCGTGGTTTCAATAATATAAATTAGCGCTGTCGTCATATATACACAGCCAGCAATACACTAGGTAATAGTTGGTTTCCAGCCGATTACGTTTTCTATTGACGTCACCACCGCTACTAGTTTTAACACCCTAGGGTATTATTTGGGCAATAATGTACCCCAAATGCATGCCATTATAGACCAATAATAAACCGGTAAGACAAAAAAGATAATCATTATACAATATGTATAATTCTCCATTTTAGTTGTAATTCGTGCAACCTACTCGATGATCTAGTGCTAAAGACCTGCACGTGCCGCCAAAAATAAAAAACCCCGCCGCCCCCCTTGATTGCCATTAATCCGCCGCCCCCATCCCCGATAGCTACAAGAAACGTCAATTGCCTCTGACACAATTATCTAAGGATACTCGTCTCCAAAGACTTCCCTGCAGTGATCTCCCCGATCCGCCCCAACAAAAACGGAGTTATCTCCTTCCCCCCGACGCCCCTCCTCCCCGCCTCCTCCAGCGCCTCTTCTATAACACCATTTATAACCTCTTCCTTCATCGCGTATTTTTCCGGGACAGGTACGGCAAAAAGCATGCCGGATCGCAAATTCAGCCTCCGATTGCAATGAATTATCTCCGCCGCCTCCTGTGCGGTTTGTACCGCGTAGGGAGCCTGGCAGCCGCTCTTCCTGCTGTAAAACGCAGGGAAATCCTTCCCGCCAGCGAACGCGGCGACGAACACTCCTTGAGTTTCCTGCAAATTATTGTTAGAGTGCTTTTCATTCCGACTTGATTCTATTACGAGGTATTCGAGCGTCCTGGGGACGTCGAGGATCGATTTGACGCCGCTGGAGACGACGGCGACGCTGCTGCGGCCCAGCTCGGTCAGGTCGGCGGACACGTCGAGGGTGGACTCGCCGCCGCGGTGCACGCCGCCGATGCCTACCCACAAAGCGAATTTACCGCACGAGTGCTGTAATGCTCGATTATCGCACTCACCTCCTGTCGCGAAGACGGGTATCCCCACGTGCGCGGCCACGAGCATGGTCCCCGAGACGGTGGTGCCCCCGTTCCGGCCCTGGCTGACGACGTAGGCGAGGTCCCGCCGAGACGTTTTGATGGGCCGGCTCCGCTCGACGTCGCCCAGTCGCCGGGTTTCGTTTTCGTCGAGGCCGACCCTGACCCGACCTTCAATTATCGCCACAGTCGCAGGAATGGCACCCTAACGAATATAAAATGATTTTTTTAATTGGGTAGATGAAATATTTAATTAGATCGCGCGATTGGCTAGATGGGAGTCAAGGCCGGGTTCGGGGTGACACGTGGATGGCCTTTATTGGTGGATTTATTATCACTGTTAGAGAGATGCGAGTCAGATGCAACGCTAAGCTGATTATTTCGTGTTTACGCGGATTACGCTAATTAAAACGGCGTTGTGTGTTTGCTTGGATGTTGTACACTGAAATGGGAACTGTGTTTAGTGTAGGGTTTAATTGGTCGTTTTTTGTGTGCCGCGGATGTCGAGGGTTTGATAGTGTGTAGAATTTTAGCGGTGTGTCATGTGTGTGTGTTTTCACTTCCTGAGAATGTTTTATCGACATTTCATGAGACTAGAGTACGAAAAAAGTGGTCTCCCGTTTCGTTTGTCTGTCGTCTATCTGTCAGTTTGATGACGTCATCTCCAAGAATTCTATTTTAAAATGATTCAAATGTTATTCAACATTTTCGGCTTTTTGTAATTTCAGATTGTCAACTTCCAATTTCCCAATTTTTTGAAATGTCAGTTTTGGAAATTTTCAATTTTTTAAGTCTTCCATTTTGCGATTTTTCAATTTCTCGAGTTTCAATTTTTTAATTTTTCAATTTTGGGCTAGTTCGATTTTTCTGTTTTTCGAATTTGCGACTTCTCATTGTTTTAAATTGTCGATATTTTTGACTTTTTGGAACTTTTCAAACTCTTCGGATTTTTCCGACTTTTCGGACTTTATGGGATTTTTTGGATTTTTTGGATTTTTGGAATTATTAAGTTTCTTGACTTTCCTAGTTATTTTAATTTCCTCGGTTTTTTGGGTTTCTTGTTTCTTGTTATTACTTCCCGAGGGTAAGCTACTTTTTTTTAAACTATATATTTTTTATTTTTGGGATATTTTTTTATTTTATGGGTTTTTGGAATTATTTGATTTCTTGAATTTGTTGAGTTTCTTGACTTTTTGTATTTTTTAATTTCTTGGACATTTTCAATTTTTTGGATTATTGGATTTCTTGAATTTCTTGAGTTTATTGTATCTTTTAAATTTTCATATTTTTCTGATTTTTTAGATATTTTTTTGTAATTTCGGTTTTTTGTATTTTTGGACTTTTCTTTCATTTTTTGGATTTACTTGGACTATTCTGGATTTTTTTGTATTTTCTCGATTGCGTTGGATTTGCTTCGAATAATTTGGATATTTTCAATTTTTTAGATTATTGGGTTTCTTTGAATTTTTTGGATTTTCGAGATTCCCCGATTTTGACATACTTATAGATCGATTTTGTGAATTTTAAATTCTTCAATTTCGATTTCTCTAGTTCAATTTTTCAATTTTTTAAATTTTATATTTTTCGATTTCCGTTTTTTTTATTTATCAGTTTTTCAATTTATCAGTTTTTCGAACTTTTTAAATTTTCTATTTTTCGATAAATCAAATTTTTCGATTTTCCGATTTATTTTTCAGTACATATTTCGGTTATTCGTTTTTTCGAATTTTTTAAAATAAATGTTTAGACTTTTCGATTTTTCAATTTCTGGATTTTACAATATTTCGATATTTTTATTATTTTTTTAATTCTAGATTTTTCAAGTTTTTAGGTTCTTCAGTTTTTCGATATTCTCAATTTTCCAATATTTCAGTTTTACGATTTTTCAATTATTGGCGTTTCTAAATTTTCGAATTTTCGATTTCTGGATTTTTCGACTTTTGAATTTCCATTTTTTTTCTTCAATTTTTCGGTTTTCCGATTTCTCGGTTTTACTTTTTTCGATTTTTCAATATCTCGATTTTAAAATTTTTTTATTTTTCAGTTTTTCAATTTCTCTATTTTTCGCCTTTTCGACTTCTCGATGTTTCAGTTTTTCGATATTTCGGACTTTTCGCATTTTCCGACCTTTCAGACTTTCTGGACTTTTTCGGATTTTTTGGATTTATTGAATTATTGATTTCCTTGAGTTTACTTGTTTTTTGGATTTTCTTGGTTTTTTGGGTGTTTTGTGGTATTTCTTACATTTTTCACTGATTTTTTTATTTTTGGGATATTTTTCATTTTTTGGCTTTTTGGAATTATTTGATTTCTTGAGTTTATTGAGTTTCTTGGAATTTTTTGATTTTTAAATTAAATGTTTGTTTTTTTTTAATGCTTGGACATTTTCAAGAGAGAGTGATAAATGAGAGAATGATTTTCAGATTTCTAGATATCTTGATTTCTGGATTTCTGGACTTCTGGATTTCAAGATTTTTGAATTATGGATTTTTTGATTTCTGGATGTCTCGATTTTTGAATTTTGGGTTAACTTTTTTGGATTTTCGGATCTTCGAATTATCGAGTTTTCGAATTTTCGGATTTCTGAATTTTTGGATTTCTAGATTTTCGGATTTCTGGATTTTTGTTTTTCGGATTTTCGAATTTCTGGATTTTTGGATTTCTGGATTTCTGGATTTCTGGATTTTTGGATTTTCGGATTTTCTGAATGTTTGAATTTCTGGATTTGTCGATTTCTGGATTTATGATTTTTGGATTTCTGGATTTCTGGACTTCTGGATTTCTGAATTTCTGCATTTTTGCATTTTTGGATTTTTCGATTTTCGAATTTTCGAATTTTAGGATTTCTGAATTTCTGGATTTTTGGATTTTTGTTTAATGGGTTTTTGAATTTCTGAATTTATGGATTTCTGGATTTTTACATTTTTGTATTTTCGGATTTTTAAATTTTCGAATTTTCGGATATCTGAATTTTTGGATCTTTGGATTTTTGATTTTTGGTTTTTTGGATTTTTGGAGTTTTAGATTTTCGATTTTTCTGAATGTCTGGATTTTAGGATTTGTGGATTTGGAATGATAAATGGGAGAATGAGAGAGAAGGTGATAAATGGGAGAATGAGAGAGTGTGATAAATATGAGAATGAGAGAGTGTGATAAATATGAGAATGAGAGAGAGTGATAAATGGGAGAATGAGAGAGAGTGATAAATGGGAGAATGAGAGAGAGTGATAAATGAGACAATGAGAGAGTGATAAATGGTAGAATGAGAGAGAGTGTGATAAATGGGAGAATGAGAGAGAGCGATAAATGGGAAATGAAAGAGAGAGAGAGTGATAAGTTAAATTTGGGTTTAAGTTCCGAATTAATTTCGGGATTAAGTTCGGGATAAATCGAAAAATTAAAAAATTAACAAATCGAAAAATTGGAAAAGCGAAAAATTTTAATCCGAAAAGTAGAAATGTCGAAAAATCGAGCAATCGGAAAATAGAAAATTTAAAAACTAGAAAAATCGAAAAATCGAAAAAATGCGAACTTAAAAACTAAAAACCAAAAAAAAAACCGAGACCTCGAGAAATCGAAAAACCTAAAATTTATTTTTTACAGAAGTCACAACCGCTTTCATTTCTTCGATAACTCCAATGATTCTTCCAGAATCATCCTTTGAAGGATATAAAAATATGCAAAATCCGCACAATTTTCGACCAATTTTCAACAAAATTTTCGAAATTTCACTAAATACATTTTCTTGTAGATTTCGGGCCGCAAAAGTCATATCCGCTTTCATTTCTTCGATAACTCCAATGGTTTTTCCATAATCGTCTTTTGAAACTTTCAAAAATATGCAAAATCCGCCCAATTTTCGACCAATTTTCAACAAAATTTTTGAAATTTCACTAAATACATTTTCTTGTGGATTTCGGGCCTCAGAAGTCATTTCCGGTTTCATTTCTTCGATAATTCCAATGATTTTTCCAGAATCGTCGTTTGAAACTTTCAAAAATATGCAAAATCCGCCCAATTTTCGATCAATTTGCAGTTTCGAGTTTCAATTTTTCGATTTTTTAAATTTTTGGATTTTTCAATTCCTCAATTTGTAGTTTAATCAATAATTTGATTTTTCGATTTCTGAATTTTTCGACTTGTCAATTTTCAGATTTTCGATTTCTCTATTTATCGAGATTTCCCGATTTGTCGTTGAATAATTTTTTTTTTTAATTTTTCATTTTTTAATTTTTCAATTTTGGGCTAGTTCGATTTTTCTGTTTTTCGAATTTGCGACTTCTCATTGTTTTAAATTGTCGATATTTCGGACTTTTTCGAAGAAGTCATATCCGCTTTCATTTCTTCGATAACTCCAATGGTTATTCCAGAATCGCCCTTTGAAAAATTCAAAAATATGCATAATAACCCCAGTTTCCCACCAATTTTCAACAAAATTTTCGAAATTTCACTTAATACATTTTCTTGTAGATTTCGGGCCGCAGAAGTCATATCCGTTTTCATTTCTTCGATAACTCCAATGATTTTCTCAGAATGTTTTTTTTTTTTCGGATTTTTCAGTTTCCGGTTTTTCGATTTTTTGAATTCTTTAGATTTTTTCGTGATTTCGGATTTTTTGTATTTTTGGAGTGTTTGCATTTTTTGTTTTTTGACTTTTTTTGAGTTTTTTGGGTTGTTTCGGATTTTTTTGTATTTTCTCGCTTGTTTTAGATTTGCTTCGAATTATTTAAATATTTTCAAATTTTTCAGATTTCCCAATTTTTCGATAGATCGATTTTTTAATTTTTAATTTTTCAATTTTTTTCGTCTTCTGGATGTTTCAGTTTTTTTAATTTTCAGTTTTTCAAGTTATCAGTTTTTCGCTTTTTTTAAATTTTCCGGTTTTGGACAGATCAAATTTTTCGATTTTAGGATTAATTTTTTTTAATTTCAATTATTCGATTTTTCAGTATTCGACATCTCGGTTTTTCGATTTTTCAAGTTTTCGATTTCTCAATTTTTCAACATTTTCAAATTCAGGAATTTTTCCATTTCTGGATTTTTCAATATTTCGATATTTTATTATTATTTTTTTTAATCCTAGATTTTTTAAGTTTTTGATGTTTCGATTGCTCAATGTTATGATTTTTCCACTTTTCGGCTGTCGATTTTTAGGTTCTTCGATTTTTCGATTTCTCAATTTCTATATTAATGGTTTCTTTAATTTTTCAACTTTACGATTTCCGGATTTTTCGATTTTCCCATTTCTCGATTTTTTTGACCAATTTTTGAGTTTTATTTAGGTCATATAGTCATACCACTTTAATCAAAGTTTCAAATAGCACTTATGGGTTTTCTTACATCTTAAAACCTTACTTAAATCGAATTTTCCCAGAAGATCCTAGATTTTTTCTAGTAGCAAAAATGTCTTAAACCCTCTACACTGGAAACAAATTTTTAATTCTAACCGTGATCACAAAAAAAAAATTGAATATGTGAAAAATTTTCTATATCATAGAAGTATTTCATTGAATTTCTTAAACTCAATAAAAGGAGTAAATGCGAGAATTTTTTTATTTGACATTCATTAACATAGTTCGGAATTAATCTACTGCTGGAATTTATTTAAAAGAACGAGAAAAAGGCGCTCTATCTACAGTCCAGATAATAAACCCACCAAAACTAGTAAAAGCGATATCTATTCAAGTATCGATCTCTCTTGTAGCTCCGAGCGCTAGATGGCAGCACAACACCTAATACGTCATTACGTCATAAATCAATAACTGTATTTACTCTACAAAAAAAAAAACTCAACTTTCCCATTAGCTATTTATACCCCTTAAAAAATATTCAATTTACATAAAAACAGCGATAACGATTAGTGGCATTAGACATTTACATAGCTAATAATAAACATTTGCAAAGATAAAAGCAACGATAAAACTATCGCATTAGTTTTGACTATTTCTAATAACAACCATAATTAATGACTTGTTTAAAAAAAAAGAATGAAGTCATGTGCGTCCAGCGTGTCTGTTAATAAAATGGTTAATAAACGCCCCCAAAGCTGCCACAGGAAATGCAATTTTTCAATTTGCGGCTTGTCTCCATACTGACACATACTATAAATCATAATTCGCAAAGTACAGTCACAAACTTCTTTATTTCAAGGTCATCACGCCAAATTTTAAAAATACATGAATAGAATTCACCCTCTTTTTAATATAAAAACGTGAGCACATTTGAAGGTTTTTGAAACTTCGTGGGTGAAATTTAGTTTAAGTTTAGACTACGACCTTGAGATAATTTGTCGCTGACTGTACCACTATTTGACAGTTGATTATACTCCCTATTATCAACGAAGCGGCAATTAATACCTGCTTAATACCACGTGTAAAACAACATAACCTCCAGTACCTGACTCCTCACGACCTCCTCCACCTCCAAAGCGCACTTAACGTTTTGGGGGAACGGCATGCCATGCGTAATGATGGTGGACTCAAGGGCCACCACGGGCTTATTCTCGCTCAACGCACCCCTAACCTCGTCACTAACAACGATTTTGTCAAACCTGGACAGCCCCCTACAGAACTTCCCCAAATTTAAACCACCCCAAACACGTTTTCCACTCAAGCCTAACATTGTCGGCAACACGCAAGTACAAACAAACAGACTCAAAAGCACGCTATCTCAAGTGGACTGCAGTGGCACTTTTGAAAATATTTCAGAGGCGATAAAAACCGCAATCTAAAAATGTTTATTATGACTAGAGACTAGATAAATCGTGTTTGAATTCATAACGGAAAATAAAAACTACATGTCACTAAAGTCAAAGTCAGATAAGTCCTCAATATCTTTTTCCTTGTCCTTTTTCTTGTCTTCTTTTCTGGGGGTCGCGTCGAAGACGGAGCTGGTGATGCTGGTGCTGCTGCCGCCATCTTTAAACGACACGTCCTTTTTTTCGTCTTCTTCGTCGTCTTCGTCGGTGTTTAAATTAAAAAGGACTTTTTTCTTGGTTAGGGAACCCACAGAGGGGTAGCTTTTTAGTACTCCTTTCGTTTGGTCCTCTTTTGGAAGTTCTTTTGTGTCTAGTTTTGACGTGACGGCCTTCAGTTCTTCTATGACGGCGGAATAGGGGGCCGAAAACTCCCCCAGATTGTCTCTAGCTTGCGGCTTGCTGTCTGTATCCGAATCAGTGTCATACATTTTTCGATTTTTAATCTCGATTTTCGGCGACTTTTCTTTTTTCGGTTCCGCTTTTTGTGGTTTCGCTTTAATTACTTTCTTAAGTCGTTTCGTTTTTGTTTCTTCGACTTTTTTAGTCACGGTTTTCTCAATCTGTGATGAGATAAAGTCGAAATTTGGGTAAGTCTGGAAATAAATAAGTCAAAATTGGGTGGTTAATGAAAAAAAATGAACCTTCTTTGTTAGAGTTGCTTGATGGTTCACAATTTCCATCGCTCTGTTGAAGGAACGTGCTGGAAGTCCTTTCCAATCTGGCGAAACCCCCAAGTCCTGGATTCGCGCCATTATAATGTTCTCCACTGTAACCCTAAAGTGCTTGAGGAGTTCTTCATCTATGTAACTTTTTTTGTCAGAACTGTGTGGGCGTTTTCTAGGAATTGGTTTAGGTTTAGGAGGGGTTTCTTCCTCTTCTTCTTGTTCTTCTTCAGGCGAATCAGCAATTTCTGCTTCTGAAACTATAGTCTCAGAAGTAATTGTATCTTCATCTTCATGATCTGTTGACTCTAGACTTTTACTTGTTTGCACCTTAAACGGACTTTTCTTCAATTGTGTTGCGACTACTCTCACAGGAGAATGTTTCTTCCCAGTTGCAGCAATCTCTTCAGAGTTAGTTTCACTTTCTGACTTTCTTGATTCACTTTCTAGAGATTCTTTTGTTACAGTTGTATCTTCACTCTTCACTAATTCTACTAAAGTAAACTTTTTCCTAGCTTTCACTGCAGGTTTAGGCTTCTCAAGATCTTCATTCTTCACTCTATATCGCTCCATGTCGCTCAATTTGTTCCAAAACGACTGCATCTGATTCTCGATTTTTTGAAGACTAGAAGTGACCTTTAAAAAAATAAGTCAAAAATTAATCACACACATTTTGACTTTACTTTTGTCTCTAGAGCTTCTCCAAATTCAGCCATCTGTTTCTGGGTGTCACTAATCTCAGGAATATTTTCCTTATCCTTCTCATCAAACTTGTAAGTTGGTGTCACTGCCTGCGAATCCGCGCCTAAGTCAGTCTGCGTCGTGCTCTCTCTGCGCCTGCGCAAATCGCTCCCACTAACGAATTTCTCAAACCACTTCTCCTGAAAATTGTGCTGACTTTGCAAAATCTTCAACTCTGACTGAACTTGAAGCCTCAAATCTTCAAATTTCTGTTGCAAGTCTTCAATCTTCCTCAGTTCCGTGTCTTTGCTAAAATTAGCATCTACGTCCTGCTCCTTTTGAATCATCTTCTCAGCGTTATTAAGTCTCCCTTTTAGCTCTTTTATTTCCATCTGTAATTTATCAGTTTCTGCTTCTACAATAAGTGTATGACGCCGCTTAATATGCGAACTCAGAAACTCCTCAGTTGAAAACGCTTTATCGCACTGATTGCACCTAAACACCGGTTTTTCGTCAATCTCTTTCATTAAAGTCTCAATGTGCCCCTTCAGGTCCTCCACGAACAGATTCAGCTCCTTATTTTCCTAAAAACCTGACTCGAGACACTTGCGTGTATAATTGGTTGCCTACCTCTTTCAACTTTTTCACTTCATCCTTAACCAAAATAACAGTATTATCGAGATACTTTTTACAATAAAGCAAATACTGAATCGAAAGCTGGCTCAACCGAAACGTCTTGACGAAACTTTCGTCCAAAAGCTGCGCCTGCTCTGAATCAAGCACAAACTTGGTCACACAAGGTATGAATTTTTCGATGGTGGCAAAGTCCCGGTCTTCGACCACCCGGTCAAGATCAATGGAACCTGCTTACATATCGTGAACAGTTTGCTGTTTTCAACAAAACACTTACTTATTCTGTTTTTGTCAAAATTGTCTGACTTGTGTCGCTCGAAGCGAAACCCTGTATCGAAGGCTAGACGAACGTAGTCATGTTGCCACTTGTAGTCAGCACTGAACATAGCTCATTTGGGGCCTTTTTGGGCACGATTCGCGCAAAAAAGGCATGAAAAGGCGATTTTTGGGGTTAGAGGAAGGCACAAGTTTGAATAGTGCGCGTGCGCGGTGATGACTACAAACAGAAAACGTGTGTCGGGGATTGCTGCCGGTGAATGCAGGGGTGGATCGATGGCAGAGAGGGCGGGGCGCATGAGCAATTTTCAGATTCGAAAAAAAAAAAAGAAAACGTCGATTGTGTCTGTGATTTTGCAATTTATTATTGAAGAGAGAAATCGGGTTGTGAAACTGCAGCTATAACAACGTAATTGTGACACTGTTTTTGTGTATTGCGTCTTCGTTAGTTGTATTTATCGTCATTTTATTTGTTATTTTAAGCTGTCACAACAAAATGGATAATTTTTAACTTGGTTTAGTTTAGTTTTCTGTTTTAGTTTTACTAGTTTGGGTTTTTTCCACCCATTTCAGTCATTATTAAAGAACGGATTTATATGCACAAATATTTCTCAAAGTATGCGCATTTATATGCACAAAATTCTTTCGAAATATGCAGAATTTTATGCACAAATGAAATTTACCTCCGACGATCAGGAAAGAAAGAACAAGAAACTACAAACAAAAAACATAACATTTATTACCTATAACATAATTTTACATAAAGCATAAGCAATATAATACGTCAACATTGCAAAAGTAATGACGTAGACGTCTTGTCTCGCTGATTCTCCTATATATCTTTTAAGAAAATATAAGGCGGGTGTATTTGCTAAGATATGACTGATTTTGGCAAATGTAATACCCTTTAAGTAAATAGAAGGCGAGTGAATGATATCATTTGCCAAAATTAGTCTTATCTTTACAAGTACTAGCCCCACCCACCCGCCCTATATATATTCTAAGAAAATAGAGGACGGGTGGATGGAATAGTACTTGTAAATATAAAACTGATTTTGGCGGATGATATATCTTAAAAGAAAATAGAGGGCGGGTGGGCGGGGCTTGTATTTGCTAAGATATGACTGATTTTGGCAATGATATACCCTTTAAGTAAATAGAAGGCGAGTGAATGATATCATTTGCCAAAATTAGTCTTATCTTTACAAGTACTAGGCCCACCCGCCCGCCCTATATATATACTCTAAGAAAATAGAGGACGGGTGGGTGGAGTAGTACTTGTAAAGATAAAACTGATTTTGGCAGATGATATATCTTTAAAAAAAATAGAGGGCGGGTGGGCGGGGCTTGTATTTGCTAAGATATGACTGATTTTGGCAAATAATATTATAAGCTAAAATACGACTGATTTTGCAAATGATATCTTAAGCTAAGATAAGACGGATTTTGGCAAATGATAGACCCTTTAAAAAAAGAGAGGGCGGGTGGGCGGGGCTTGTAAGATAAGACTGATTTTGACAAATGATATTATAAGCTAAGACTGATCTTGCAAATGATATCAAAAGCTAAGATAAGACGGATTTTGGCAAATGATATACCCTTTAAAAAAAGAGAGGGCGGGTGGGCGGGGCTTGTACTTGCTAAGATAAGACTGATTTTGGCAAATGATATTATAAGCTAAAATAAGACTGATTTTGCAATGATATCATAAGCTAAGATAAGAAGAATTTTGGCAAATTATGTACCCTTTAAGAAAACAGAGGGCGGGTGGGCGGGGCTTGTATTTGCGATGCTAAGACTGATTTTGGCAAATGATATAAGCGAAAATAAGGCGGATTTTGGCAAATGATATTATAAGCTAAAATAAGACTGATTTTGCAAATGATATCATAAGCTAAGATAAGACTGATTTTGGCAAATGATATTATAAGCTAAGATAAGACGGATTTTGGCAAATGATATACCCTTTAAAAAAAGAGAGGGCGGGTGGGCGGGGCTTGTACTTCCTAAGATAAGACTGATTTTGGCAAATGATATTATAAGCTAAGATAAGACTGATTTTGCAAATGATATCATAAGCTAAGATAAGACTGATTTTGGCAAATGATATACCCTTTAAAAAAAGAGAGGGTGGGTGGGCGGGGCTTGTACTTGCTAAGATAAGACAGATTTCGGCAAATGATATCATAAGCTTAGATAAGACTGATTTTGCAAATGATATCATAAGCTAAGATAAGACTGATTTCAGTAAATTATATCCCATCTTAGACAATAAAGGGCGGGTGGGCAGGGCTTGTATTTGCGATGGTAAAACTGATTTTGGCAAATGATATAAGCGAAGATAAGACTGATTTTGGCAAATGATAACATAAGTTAAGATAAGACTGATTTTGGCAAATGAAATCATTTGGCAAAATCAGTCGTATCTTAGCAAATACAAACCCCGCCCATCCGCCCTTTATTTTCTAAGAGGGGATATAATTTACCAAAATCAGTCTTATTTTAGCAACTACAACCTCGCCCACCCACCCTCTATTTTCTTAGAGTGTATATCATTTGCCAAAATCAGTCTTAGCTTAGCTTATGATATCATTTGCCAAAATCCGTCTTATCGTAGCAAATACAAGCCCCGCCCACCCGCCCTCAATTTTTTTAAAGGGTATGTCATTTGCCAAAATCAGTATTATCTTAGCTTATATCATTTGCCAAAATCAGTCTTATCTTAGCAAATACAAGCTTCGCCCACCCGCCCTCTGTTTTCTCAAAGAATATATCATTTGCCAAAATCAGTCTTTTCTTAGCTTATAATATCATTTGCCAAAATCAGTCTTATCTTAGCAAGTACGAGCCCCGCCCACCCACCCTCTGTTTTCTTAAAGAATATATCATTTGCCAAAATCAGTCTTATCGTAGCATCTACAAGCCCCGCCCACCCGCCCTCAATTTCTTTTAAAGAGTATGTCATTTGCCAAAATCAGTCTTAGCTTATATCATTTGCCAAAATCAGTCTAATTTTAGCAAATACAGGCCCCGCCCACCCGCCCTCTATTTTCTTAAAGGATATGTTATTTGCCGAAATCAGTCTTATCTTAGCTTATAATATCATTTGCCAAAATCAGTCTTATCTTAGCAAGTACGAGCCCCGCCCACCCCCCCCCTCTGTTTTCACAAAGAATATATCATTTGCCAAAATCAGTCTTATCTTAGCTTATATCATTTGCCAACATCAGTCTTATCTTAGAAAATACAAGCCCCGCCCACCCACCCTCTATTTTCTTAAAGGATATGTTATTTGCCAAAATCAGTCGCATCTTACGAAGTACAATAATAAAAATCAGATGTTTTTCCAAATTTTCCATTCTAAAATTCTGTCGTCTATCTTGTATTTTTTTATACAACCTAACTAAATTCTTCTCTGTGGGAATAACATTAAGAAGAAAGAAATTCAATAAAGATTCATTATAAATCTCGGTACATACACATTTTTTTCTCAGCTTACTTTCGTCGAGAACATTTGTACAATATTTTTTCTAAAATCGCTTTGAAACAAGTTTTGATTGGTGGAGATTTGTTATTTTAAAAATAACATAATATTTCAAGACGAAAACAAGTTAAAACAGTCGTATTAAAAAATATGCAATATAAATTTAAAAAAATCATTTACCGTTTTTCCACATGCTTATGAATTTATTAAAGTTATGACCTTTAATGACCTTAAAAAATAAATAAATATTTTATCTTGACTTGCCAATAACAGGCACGAAATACTTCATGCTCAGTCGACATGTACCTAGTTAAACTTTAATTATTAATTTGGACAAACCACCCTTATAAATCAAACTGGCTAATGTAAACTGCAGCAAACGAATTTTCAGGTATATTTATTTAGAAAAATACCAGAAAAGCCCAAATAGATGTTTAGATGTTCTTAAATTTTCTCCAAACAGAAATGGCAAATATTTTTTTTAATTGACAGAACTGCAAATTGCATTTGGACAATTTTGATTCGTTGAGAGTAACCTGAAGTAGTACAGCAAACGAACGCTTAATTATAATTAATTTAAGTAAATAATTCATGATATTTATCAGTTGTAATAAATAATTAATTCGTTTCCTCGTTACTCGTATAATGAGTTGTGATAACTAATTACTAATTAATTTGAATTAGCTGAAAGTAACAAGGGAATTTGATGTAGATTACAGACAGTAGGTTATTATAGGGGGACAAAAAAGCCTGGGTCGGGCCTGTGCACCGATCGTAGCGCTACCTGGTGTCAACTACTGCGACCCAAGTCGCAAACTAAATTAATTAAAAAAAAATAAAAATCCAAATTAAAATAGCACGAAATGATTACTGATTTGCAAATGAGAAAACACCGAAAGTGAGGAGAGCCCTTGTCGATTTATTAGTGATTATTTTCTTCCCGCAACGTCGCTCGCCCAAGCGCCGACGTACGTCGCACCTGTCACAACTGTCACAAAAAACATAAACACGCCAGTCGTGAATATTCCGGCATCGAAATAGGTAGTGCGAAAGTTTGATCCGATTTAAATTCAATCAAACCTCCACGTCCTTCCACATCCACCTATAAATAGCACCCGAAAGGTCAAACCAATTAAAACCGAAACCCATCAAGTGGCCGTCGCTCACAATGGTACCTGTCGGAACAGTCACAGTCTCGCACCGACCACCAGCACCCGCCAACAATCCGCACTGATACCAACTCGCGAGCGCTATCTTATCAACAATCACCATTTATATCAGTCGAAATCTCCGTTCGCCGCAGTTTCCGCCGAATGCCCGCCCAGTGAACCGAGCCCCCATGGTACAGTTTTCGGCAACGATGGGCCAGAACGCGAGCCTGCCGAAGCCGGGCCGCCGGAAATCGCTGCGCTCGTTCACCAGGAAGTCGCAGACCCACGCCAACCTCAGCCACACTTTCACCCTCAACGACAACGAAGACAAGATCGAGCTGCTGAACATCAACCAGGCCAGCGAGGAGGAGCTGATGACGCTGCCCGGGGTGAACCGGGAGGTGGCGCGGAGCGTGGTGGAGCACCGGAAGGCCATCGGCCGGTTCCGGAAGGTGGAGGACCTGGCGCTGGTGCGGGGCATCGGGGCCGACAAGCTGGAGGCGCTGCGGCCCGAGATCTGCGTCAGCAGCAGGAAGAACCTGAGCTGTGCGTCCTCGAGGGCGCAGAGCTACGACAGCCTGAGGAGCACGGACTCGCGGCTGACGGTGAAGGGCAGCAGACTTGTTAATGTGAATAAGGCGAACGTTTTCGAACTGCAGTGTGTGCATGGGGTGACGCAGGAGATCGCAGCGGCTATAGTACATTACAGGGGCAAAAAGGGGCCCTTCAAGCAGGTTAGTGGGGTTACACAATCGTGGTTTCAAAGTACTCGTTTTTCGATTTGAGATAATTGTTATCTTGTGTGCTTAGTTGGTGCTTAGTTTTTAATGGCAAGGTTTTTCGGTTTGGTCAATGAGAGCGAGACGGAATGTGGGGCGAAGTGCCAACCTTGGAAGTGGAAAAGGAAAACGGGAAGCGGAAGTTGATACCACAAAAATTTTGATAACGAAAAAATCATTGTTGGACAAGAACTAATCCATTTTGGGTACAAAATTGGCAAAAATTAATTGGTAGCGAAACAAGAACTTTCCTAATGAATGTTTCAGCGGTTTTAAATGTGAATTTAAAGCGAAAAATCGAATGTCATTAATTCATTATTGTGCCGCCTTTCGGAAAAACCAACCATACTATACAAACGAAAGTGGTTAAGAAACCTCAGTGCGTCAATGACTTAGATAACAATCTCTGCTTACTATTTTGTCCATTTAGGAAATAAAATAGTAGAATTGAAGGCAAACGTGTGTTGTCAAGATTGATCTTTTAGACTAATTATTCAACTAAAAACAGAACGATGACGCCTCAATTATTTAAACGGCATTTTTTAATCAGGTTAACCTTGTGTAAAACAACATCTTGTTAGAAAAAGTGCCCGTAAATGCACAAAAAATTGTCCACGTGCTGATTCGAAAAATACAGCGTGTTTTTGGTCTCAGATAACGATTTTCGAAATATTCGGCTTCAAATTATTATTTTTTTTTAATAAATTCTAAAGATTGCTATAATTCAATTGGCAATTCCGAAAAAGTGGTAGTTATCGAAGAAACGGAAGCGGAAGTAACTTCTACAGGTCAAAATCTACAAGAAAATGTGTTCAGGAAATTTTCGAAAAATCAGGTTAACCTTGTGTAAATAAATTATTACTTCTTGTTGAAAACATAAGATACTAAAAATTAAGAAAAAGGTCGAAAGTTATTTCGACAGAACTTCCTTTGCTTTTGAACTACAGCCCAACAAATCCTACTTCTTTGAAAAATTATAAAAAAAAAAAATGTGATTTTTTTAACCCCTATGAAGTAAAAACTACTGGCGTAAATAACACTTCAGCAGCTTTTCCGACTTGAATTTTTCAATATTTATTTTTATTTTGTTTCTTCAGTTTTTCGAGTTTTCAAGTTTAAATGTTTCAATTCTTCAATTTTTCGATTTGCAGTTTTCCTATTTTTCTTTTTTTTTTTTGTTACGATTCGCAGCTCTTCGAGTTTTCATTTTTAAATCAGTAATAATTACAGTTTTAAAAATTTTCACTTTTTCAATGTTACGATTTTAGAATTTTTCCATTTTTCAGTTACTGGATTTTAAAACCTTCTCATTTATTAGAAAAGTAAAAGTATTGAAAATTTGAATATCGAAAACTCGAACATTTGAGCAAAATTCCTGAAGTCGAAAAATCGAAAGGAAAAACAAAAAGTCAAAAAACTGAAGAATGAGAAAACTTGAAAAGCCGAAAATTTCAAAAATCAAAATTTGAAAAATCTAAAATCTATAAATCTCGATTACAACATCGAGAAATCTAAAAATCTAAAATTCGATTAATCAAATGTTCGAAAAATAAAAAACTCAACACATCGAAAAGTAAAACAGTTGAAAAATTTAAAGAATGAAAAACCGAAAATATGAAAAATCAAAAAATCTCAATCGCAAAATCGGGAACACGATAAATCGAAAAATGGAATCTTGAAAAATCGAAAAATAAAAAAATTGAAAATTTGAATAGCGAAAACTCGAACATTTGAGTAAAATTCGTGAAATCGAAAGGTAAAACAAAAAGTCTAAAAACTGAAGAATGAGAAAAATTGAAAAGCCGAAAATTTCAAAAATCAAAAATTGAAAAATTTAAAATTCGAAAAATCTAAAATCCATAAATCTCGATTACAACATCGAGAATTTAAAAATCTAAAATTTGCTGAATCAAATATTCTAAAAATAAAAAAATCGAGACATCGAAAAGTTGATCAGTTGAGAAATTTAAAAATTGAAAAAAGGAAAAATTGAAAAATCTCCATCCAAACATCGAAAATTGGAAAGACGAAACATCGAAAAGAAAAAAATTTTAAAACCGAAAAACTGAAAAATCGAAAGGTAAAAAACTGAAAATTCGAATATCTAAAACTCGAACATTTAGCAAAATTCGTGAAATCGAAAAATCGCAAGGTAAAACAAAAAGTCTAAAATCCGAAGAATGAGAAAAGTGGAAAAACCGAAAATTTCAAAAATCAAAAATTGAAAAATTTAAGACTGGAAAAATCTAAAATCCATAAATCTCGATTACAACATCGAGAAACCGAAAAGTCTAAAATTCGATGAATCAAATATTCGAAAAATCAAAAAATCGAGACATCGAAAAGTAAAACAATTGAAAAATGTAAAAACTGAAAACGGATAAATTGATAATATGAAAAATCAAAAGACTTCAAATTCGAAAATCGAAAAATCTCAATCGCAAAATCGGAAAGACGAAAAATCGAAAAATGGAAACTTGAAAAATCGAAATCTATAAGACTCAAAAAATCAAAGAAAAAACAAATTTTACGGCCGAAAAACTAAAATTATAAACTGAAAAATCGAAAGATAAAAAATCTGAAAATTCAAATATCGAAAACCCGAACATTTGAGCAAAATTCGTGAAATCGAAAATTCGGAAGGCAAAACAAAAAGTCTAAAAACTGAAGAATGAGAAAAATTGAAAAGCTGAAAATTTCAAAAATCAAAAAATTTAAAATTCGAAAAATCGAAAATCTCTATTACAACATTGAGAAATCCAAAAATCTAAAATTCGGTGAATCAAATATTCGAAAAATCAAAAATCAAGACATCGAAAAGTAGAAGAATTGAGAAATTTAAAAACTCAAAAAAGGAAAAATTGAAAAATCTCCGTCCAAACATCGAAAATTTGAGAATTCGAAAATCGGAAACACGAAAAATCGAAAAATGGAAACTTGAAAAATCGAAAACTATGGAATAAAAAATCGAAAAGAAAAAAATTTTAAAACCGAAAAACTGAAAAATTCAAACTGAGCAAATATTCGAAAAACCAAAAATCGAGACATCGAAATGTAAAATAATTGAAAAATTTAAAAACTGAAAAAATCGAAAAGTCTCAAATTCGAAACTCGAAAAATCGAAAAATGGAAAATTAAAAAATCGGAAACTATAGGAATCAAAAAATCAAAAATTCAAAAGAAAAAAGTTTTAGAACTGAAAAAAGAAAAGATAAAAAAAATTAAAATTCGAATATCGAAAACTCGAACATTTGAGCAAAATTCCTGAAATCGAAAAATCGAAAGGAAAAACAAAAAGTCAAAAAACTGAAGAATGAGAAAAGTTGAAAAACCGAAAATTTCAAAAATCAAAATTTGAAAAATCTAAAATTCGATTAATCAAATGTTCGAAAAATCAAAAATCGAGACATCGAAAAGTAAAACAATTGAAAAATTTAAAATCAAAAATTAAAAATTTAAAATTCGAAAAATCGAAAATCCATAAATCTCGATTACAACATCGAGAATTTAAAAATCTAAAAGTAGATCAGTTCAGAAATTTAAAAATTGAAAAAAGGAAAAATTGAAAAATCTCCATCCAAACATCGAAAATTGGAAAGACGAAAAATCGAAAAGAAAAAAATTTTAAAACCGAAAAACTGAAAAATCGAAAGGTAAAAAACTGAAAATTCGAATATCTAAAACTCCAACATTAAGCAAAATTCGTGCAATCGAAAAATCGAAAGGTACAACAAAAAGTCTAAAATCTGAAGAATGAGAAAAGTGAAAAAACCGAAAAATTCAAAAATCAAAAATTGAAAAATTTAAGATTTATGGATTTTAGATTTTTCTATCTAAAATCCATAAATCTCGATTACAATATCGAGAAACCGAAAAATCTAAAAATCGATGAATCAGATATTCTAAAAATCAAAAAATCGAGACATCGAAAAGTAAAACAATTGAAAAATCTAAAAACTGAAAAAGGATAAATTGTTAATATGAAAAATCAAAAGATTTCAAATTCGAAAATCGAAAAATCTCAATCGCAAAATCGGAAAGACGAAAAATCTAAAAATGGAAACATGAAAAATCGAAATCTATAAGACTCAAAAAATCAAAGAGAAAACAAATTTTACGGCCGAAAAACTAAAATTAAAAAACTGAAAATTCAAATATCGAAAACTCGAACATTTGAGCAAAATTCGTGAAATCGAAAAATCGGAAGGCAAAACAAAAAGTCTAAAAACTGAAGAATGAGAAAAATTGAAAAGCTGAAAATTTCAAAAATCAAAAAATTTAAAATTCGAAAAATCGAAAATCTCGATTACAACATTGAGAAATCCAAAAATCTAAAATTCGGCGAATCAAATATTCGAAAAATCAAAAATCAAGACATCCAAAGTAGAAGAATTGAGAAATTTAAAAACTGAAAAAAGGAAAAATTGAAAAATCTCCGTCCAAACATCTAAAATTTGAGAATTCGAAAATCGGAAACACGAAAAATCGAAAAATGGAAACTTGAAAAATCGAAAACTATGGAATAAAAAATCGAAAAGAAAAAAATTTTAAAACCGAAAAACTGAAAAATTAAAAACTGAGCAAATATTCGAAAAATCAAAAAATCGAAACATCGAAATGTAAAATAATTGAAAAATTTAAAAACTGAAAAAAGGAAAAATTGAATATCCGAAAATATGAAAAATCGAAAAGTCTCACATTCGAAAAATCGAAAAATGGAAAATTAAGAAATCGGAAAGAAAAAAGTTTTAAAACTGAAAAAAGAAAAGATAAAAAAATTGAAAATTCGAATATCGAAAACTCGAACATTTGAGCAAAATTCGGGAAATCGAAAAATTGAAAGGTAAAACAAAAAGTGTAAAAACTGAAGAATGAGAAAAATGGAAAACCCAGAAATTTCAAAAATCAATAATTGAAAAATTTAAAATTCGAGAAATCTCATCCAGAAATCGAAA